TAGAGAACAACTGATTAGCACTTTGCATAATTAACCTGATTAGCACTGTGCATAATCAAACTGATTAGCACTTTGCATAATTAAAAAGAAATAACGGCAACAACAACAATAACTAGGTAATATCAAAAGCTGCTAGTCCGACAGCCAATTTGCTAGCACCAGGATTAGTTTAGTGTAGAATCTTTTATTCTTTAAAACCTATTTTAGGAAGTACACATCTCGAAACGCTATATACACTGGAAACAGTTCCAATAAATTGGTGGTCACCCAGAAAATGGTAAATTCTAGAACTGATAATTTAATACGAACTGTTGGGAGACTAGTTCTCAGTTGTCTTATTGCTTGCCATCACTAATCTTGTGAATGTGCAAGTTACCAAATTCACATCCTGAGCAGACAGAGAAAATTGGAACGCTCTGTTGGAAGTGGCTTCATGCTTCCTTTTCTTCAACATGTGAAATAAATCCTTTCCATCTGCCCTGTAGGAACTTGCATATGTCTTCACTCTGAGTGATGCAGAAGACTGCAACAATGAGAAGGAATAAGAAGCACAAGATGCTTGTGCTTCCTACTCACTCTTCACTGGTATAACATCTGAAGTTGCTTTTACTTTGAAGACAAAGCCATCTTGGGAACCTGGATGTCACTGATCATTCTGGATTCTGGAAAAAGAACTTACAAGACAAACAGACCAACTTTCTGGCACTATTGCAAAATTCAGTTTTCTTACAGTTGCCTGCCATGCTGGATTTCAGATGTCAACATTTGTGGCAATATCTTAGAAATATGCTTGGAATGGTTTAACATTATCTGGAACTATCCAGAGTTCTGTAGTTTATCTAAACCTCAAAATAATATTTAAAGAGACGGAAAACCGACTAGGTGGACAGCAGCATTATTGACCCTTCAAAAACACATCTTCTGCAGCTGGGGGTTCACATTTTTGAATACTTCAAGGAGAAACCATTAGCAAAGGACATTTTAAAGCACAAAGCTAAAACATATATTGCAGTTCCAAAGAACTCAGTCACTGCAAGATAAGAAGTCAAGTACTAACTGAAGCGCCATTTCTACAAACTGTTATGCTTCAGGAGTAGGGGGAGGTGCTGCTAAGGAGATTATTCAAGTCCAAATGTTCCTGGGGAAGGTAGTTCCAGTAATTCTGGGAATGATGCCAATTCCTAAGCTATATATGTAAATATTTTTAAAACACTAATTTAATATACGTGTATTTTAAACACATATATGTCTACGTGCATACATTGCTCCAGTACTGCCATGGCAACAAGTTAACAGTTAACAGAAAACTCACACATCTGATTGAAAACAGTTTTTAATATATAACTTCAACACACACACAGAAACAAAAAGTTGCCTTGGGTGAAAGCTTAATCCAATCTATTCTCAAACAATGCAAGGGTCAATTTAGGTAGACAAGCTCATATGGAAATGAGTGGAAGAATCCCTGAGCTTGAAGAGGATGTGATAAAACTAGGCAGAATTCAAAGTCTGACGCTTAACACTTTCTGTGAACTAACAGAGAATAGTCAGTCTGGTTTTTGGTATTCTCTGGTTTTTTGTATTCTCTGGAGCTATTTAAGAAGGACTTTTTTGTTGCCTAAGAAATCAGAGAAGAAACAAAAATAAAAGAAGTTTATATCTAGACACATTTTCCATCTATCCCATAATAAGAAAGCTGTTGCCAGAATCGAACGTAAATATATTTAATTAGAGATGCGAGGGATTGGACGTGAGACTTTCTGCATGCAAAGTATATCCTCGGCCGCTGAGCTACAATCGCTCCAGAGTTTGAAGCTGATCAGAAGTTCAGAATACTGGACTTGCAGGCTGATCTTTCCTAGGCTTGCCATACATCTGGAAAATTCCGGACATGCCAGGAAATTGGACGCCTAAAATGGCGTCTGGAGGGGAAATTTGAATTTTAAAAGGTGTCAGGAATTTCCAGGATGCATGGCAACCTGGGGTTTCTTTTAGTTTTCTGTTGTTTTTTCAGTTTTTTGTTTTGTTTTTAATTCCAGGGGAGGCTGGGCCCCAATGCCAGTGGAAGTGACAAGAAGTCACTTCCCTTGGCTGGAGAGTGGCTGGGGGAGGGAAGCGACGCAGCGGTAAAAAACCTCAACAAGGAATCTTGTGGATGGGTAAGAGGGTCACTGGTCCTGACTGTGTGACTGTGAGAGGAGAGGGGAGGGGCAGGGAGAGGGGAGCGGAAACAGCTGAGAGGATGTAAACACTGGCATCACATGATCGCATTATAGTCATGTTTCCTTCTCTTTTGGACACTGGGTTGCGTTAGGTGGGTCTCCGAGAGGCAGAACAAGCGGAGGCAATTCAGTAGCCAATAGTTTCATTGCCGCCGCTCCGGTGCAGGTATCCCCTTGTCCTGCTACCTCTCCTTTGTTCCATCCCTAACATTCCTCTCTTTTGCACACGCACGGACGAACGTGCACGCACACACACACATGCACACACACCCCTATGGCTACATAGCAGCTAACCAGGCTTCCAAGGGTGAGGAGTGTAAATGGTTGTGGTGCAGGAAATCATGGGCTTGCTGCTGTAAAAGCAAGGAGCATAAAGGAGCATTAAGTTTTTTAAAATAAAAAAACCAACGCAGGTAAAAGCAACGCCTCTTCCCATCTGTGTGAAGGAAACGTGAACTTGCCATTCCTATTGTGATACTCCTATTGTGATATTCCTATTCCATGGTGAGGTGGGGCAAGGCTTATGTTGTAACAAGTAGCATTTATTGAGACTATTTACATTCCACCTTTGATCCAAATTTCTCAGGGCGAGGAGCAACAATTTCATTAAAATAACATTCATAGCCATGAGCAAATATTACTGTTAACTTCCTAAACATGCATAAAAAGTGGTGTTTTGAGCTGGCAATGAAATAACAAAAGCGACAATGCTAGCTGAATTTCAAGAAGCAGGGCGTTTGAAAGCCAGAGTGCCACCATGGAGAAGACTTGCTCATACATCACCACCAAATATAGTGCACCCACTGCCAGGACACTAAGTTGGACCTCTCAGCCAATCTTAACTCTTGGAAAGACTATATTTATAACTGAGAGAGGCATTCTTCCAAGTATTTAGGCCTCAAGTTGTTTGGGGGCTTTATAAGTCTTCTGTAAAACCTTGAATTTGGACCAGAACCATGTGGGCAGTCAGTGCAGAACATGTATAATGTATAATATAGGTTTGACTAGTGATTCCACTTAAAAGTCAAGCTTCTGCATTTTACACAGGCTGCACTTTCCAAGTTGTCTTCCAGAGCAGCCCTTCTAGACTGCATTACAGTAATCCAAATGGGAACTTAACACAGCATGGATTAACCTATTCAGGCTGCCCCTTGCAGACACTTGGGTCTCCGCTGAAATCAAATGACAAAGGGGACTGCAACTCCATCACAGAGCTGCTCACCTAAGTCTCAGATCCAGGAACCACCCAGCTGTGGCATGCCCATTTTTTGGAATTCAGTTTCAATTTATTTGCCCTCATTACAGTGATCAGACAAGAGTGCAGAACTTGCATGGCCTCGTCTCACTCTGATGACAGGAAGAAATAGAACTGAGGGTTATCCACATATTGGTAGCACCCAACTCCGAATCCCGATAACCTCACAGAGCTAGGGACCTGTGTAATTCAGATAGGGTACAACTGGATAATGCCACATATATATTTTTTGCCAAAGAGGAAGAAATGTTTTTTTTGCTACAGCTCCTAGCTGGTGTAAGGATGTACTCGTGCTAAGAAGTGTGGGCCTGTGATGCAAGGCTTAAAATCTCATGCAGGGAGCTAATGCCAGCTCCCTTTACTGAAAAACAAGCACCAGTGGTTGCTGCTACTTTGATACAGGGTCAGTTTTAGCACCAAATGGAGATCCCTTGTGTTAGTTTTGGTAACTCTGAGTCCAGCAATATGCTCTGTGTAGCTTGAACAACAGAAATACAGTATCACACCTCTAATCCTAGTAAGATGACTTAATGGGCGAAATGGTTGCAAAATCATCTAGGTACTTTTAACATACATTAATAGAATGGTTTATTTCAGTGCTGCTATCTTCTCTTTTATACAGACCCTCAAGTATATAGGTTTATGCAAACATATCTATTTTTGTGGATGCACAAACAGGGCATAGCCTGTTCAAGATATATACTGAATTTTACATAAATGTCACATTTATATTACAACTATGTATGTATAATTTTCGACACACACAGAAAATGGAAGAACAAAGGAATAAACCTCCTACAAGAAATTTAAATAGCCTTTTTTAGAAATCCTCATCCGAAGTTAGAGGGCTTTTAGCAATCGTACATTTATCTCTTCCAAAATACACCTGCTTTCTTTTCCCCTCTTTTCTCTTCTTTTGCCAAACTAAATATTTTTCCATCTAATGACTCTCTTTATTAGACAGCATCTAATTTGCATACATTTACATACAATTTAACTGCTTGCTTCTGAGAACAAAGAAATGGCTCCGTATTGTACTGAAGGACAATACTCAGAAAAGGTATAAAAACCAGCTAGCTCAGTGGCTGTGTATTCTTTTTGTTTCAGAAATACCAGGATTTTTAAACACTCCACTTAAAGGGTGAAAAAGATTATTCCAACAGACAATGCGAAAAGATACAGTGCAGCTCCCTTTTAACACATTTTCTCTCTGGCCTGGTTAATGGGATTTAAGGTCCAAGCTTTCTTTGCTTCCCTCTATTTCTTTTATTAGATCTGATGGATTTAATTCTGTCACATATTTTAGTTCATATTTTATTTGTATAAAAAATTATGCAGAAGCTCAACTTCAATGCTAATTCAGTACGCCCACCCTTTTCCTACAATGGGAACTGGGACATGATTGAACAATTTTGGATGGGCATGAAGTATATTGATTTCAGTGCTCAATGTTATTATCGGGGGTATGCTAAGCCTATGAGGACTTTACCTTACAGCGATACATAGAGCAAATACAAGCTTACCATGAAGCCAAATGAGAATCAACATGATGGAGTGGGATGCAAGGTTGAGCTCTACTAGCAAATATAAGGAGGGATTGTTTTCAGAGCAGGAGCAAGAAGCAGCAGATGCGTTAAGCCCTCTAGTTCCCTAGAAGGTGAAGAAGAAAGATGCTTAGAGCTGCACATGAACACAACTTTTCATTAAAAAGTTCACTGCTTAGCGTCTGCTTTAATTCAGTGGCATACAAACTGTTGAAATAAAAGTAAAAGAGCAAGTAAAAGAGAGCACACAAACTTGAATATCTACTTTCACTACTGTCTTCAGACTAGCAATTTTTTCAGTCATTATCAGAGTTTTATAATATAAATGCCACTGGAGTTATTAGGTAGGCCTCAGAACAACAGGAGATGCAACACAAAGGGCACTTACAACTTCAACTGTCAATATGTGCAATTAACATGTCTAATTGTCATAGTAACTTGGAAAAACTCACTTGCAACTGTTAAATGTTTCCATTTTAAAGAAGGAAGCATCACCAATCTATAGCTCTTCCAGACCACCTGTTTTTTCACTATTCATTGTGATTTCTTTACACAAAATTTGCTTCAGGGTTATACACTGGCATTCTGAGTTGCTTTTGTTTGCTTGCTTTGCATGGAAGTAATAAGCTGTTACCCAACACCACCATTATTCTACCCGTTCCAGTTAATTTCCTGTCACTTTTCTTACCACAACAAAATAGGTGGGCGGTGTGTGTGTGTGTGTGTGTGTGTGTGTGTGTGTAGTTTTGCTTTTGAAACAGGTTTGGTGCACAAGAACCCCAAATATATTTGGTCGTCCTCTTCCACCAAGCAGGCAACTTCAAGAAGGGTGCACATGAAGTAGAGGGAGGAAGAAGACACCCATCTAGCCAGCAACCTAAATTTGCTGGTATACAGTTGAATCATAACTTGAAAATAGTGACAGTCTGGTAGCGGCCCTAGGGAAGCGGTTTAGTAATGCTGGCCACATGTCCCGGAAAGCTGTCTGTGGACAAACGCTGGCTCCCTCAGCCTGAAGCAAGATGAGTGTCGCAACCCCATAGTCGCCTTTGACTGGACCTAACCGTCCAGGGGTCCTTTACCTTTACCTTTTTTTTACCTATTAGAACTAAACAAATGGGTTGATCATAGAGTTCTACTATAAGGAGAAGATTCACTCACAGTATAAAGGAATCTTCAAAAATAATTAGATGCTTTAGTTTCTTCTAACTAGATGTGACAGAATCACGACCACCTAACTAACTACTATCTCCTTGTCAAATTCCATACAGAAGAAAATAGGATGAGAGAATGCAAAGGCAGGGTTTGGCAATTAAATCTAAGTAATCTAATGGATTGTTGGTTAAAGTTGCCACCTTAAAGCTGAATAGAAGCAGAAAACAGAAAATCTACATGAAACTGCTGGACCAGTTATCTGGCGTTATGGAGTTTGGTATGCTGATGTCACCCATCTCTATTTTTCCTTTTCATTCAACCCAGGTGAAGAAATGAAAGGCTTAAATGCTTGCCTGAAATCAGTGGGGAACTGGATAAAGGCAAATGAACTTAAGGTAAACCTAGATAAAACAGAATTAATTGTAGTGGGGAAATCAGTGGCTGGTGTGTAAGGACCAAGTTCACAACTTGGGGTTACTGCTTCTGGATTTTTGCTAATGTTATAGCTATACTCAGTGCTGGAATGTGGAAACCTGACCACTGCTATTCATGCCTTCGTGACTTCTAGATCAGACTACCGTAATGCACACTATGTGGAGCTGCTGCTGAAGATAATTATAAAACTTCAGGGAGCGCAGAATGTGGCAGTCTACTGGATAAGAGATTGAGACGGTTGTTTCCATATATCCTCATCTGTTTCTGAAGCACCTGCACTGGTTGACAGTTTATTTCTGGGCTTAACTCAAAGTGCTGATTCCAGTCCTGAACATTCCTGATTATGTCAAGCCCTCAGGACTTAATCATCTCAAAAGGCCCTGCTGTGAAATTCATTTAATGGGAAAGCTCTATTAGCCTCTACCAAGCACAGGGTCTTTTTTGTAGCAGCCCTAATGCTAAGTTTGAAGAACTCCTACTTTGATAAGCATTAGCAAACAAATAAAAGAAAGCCTTTTCGTTTTAGTTGTCCTTTGGGAATTCATTGCTGTTTTAGCCTGTTCTTTTTTCAAACAATAACTGCACTGTATTGTATAGTTATAAATCTATAAATAGACTTGAAACCTGGGTAAATAGCTGTCTATAAATATTTTAATAAACAACAGGATAAGTCACACAACAGACGGTACAAACTAGGAGACATAAACTGCAGGCCACCAAAATTCTGGTGGAATTAACTACTAGTAAGATGCATCACTACAAATGTACATTTGACAAGACAGAAAAGGATTGTGCACAGCCAGTATACTCTAAAGAATCTTACACGAAGTTCAACAAATGCATATAAAACTCAACAGAGATAGTGAGCCTTCAACCTCCTACTCTGATCTAACAAAATATGGCTCAATTTAAAATACTAGACTTTTTACTCATTAAACAACTGGCTACACATCACTTAACCCGATGGCATTAGCCAAAACTAAAGCATTGCCATCACTGTCCCAATTATTCAGCTACCCATTGCCTTTCAGTGGGCCATTAGGCTAAATGGCTTCCCTGGGAGAACAACCCAATACAACACATTTTCTGATTAAGCACAACTAGAGAATATTCCACAATATCCTATAACTTGTGAAGGTTTCTGGTCATTTAAAATCCTCCTATCCCATCTGTTTGGTTATCAGGCCAAACTGGAATCCTGGAAGCATCTTCCTAATCCTAATAAGCTAAATTGTCCAGCAGGATTGGTCCTTCTGGGGAGCATCAAGTCTAGCCAAGAGTATGATGCACTAGTGTGCTTCTCTGTACTGAGCAGGGACTGAAAAAACTTACAAATGAAAGCCTTTTCCATTCCATGTTTTGTATCAATGCAAGGAACCTTTTATGTTTGATTGACATATAAGGATTTATTTACTTGCTGCATATATAGCATCTTTTATATTCTCTGTGTTCTTAATTTGCATTTTTGTTTATGTATGCCGGTATGTCCCCCCCACCTCATAATTAGATATTTATTGATATATTTTTCGCTAAAAACCAAAACAAACTAAAACAATACTTTGGCACAGGTAATATGTAAAACAAAATAAAGCAATGGCAGGCAATTATATTGCTACAGCAGATATAATGAACAGCCGTGAACCAAGGTAAGGGAAAGTTTATGTCTCTGTGTTAAGTGATAAGCCAACACACACACCCCTCTTCACAAATCATACATGGCAAAAGCATGGACACAGGCACTTGCTCAGTTAATATAAAAGGCAAGTGAGTCTCAGGCTAACTCACTCATTTCTTCTCTCCTTGTTATACATTCCATTTTCCTTGCTTCTGTGGCAAACCACAGTTTGCTGTTGCATGCAAGCTGGCCAATCATGGTCTGCATTTGCCTTCCAAACTATAATTGTAAACTATGATTTGATCATTATTTGCAAATCAGGTTTGTAAGGCATATGTGAACCATAGGTTCACAATTCAAATGCATAACCAAACTTTGATGGGATCCATAAGCCCTTCATCCCAGCCTTGTGGGCCTTTTCTACCTGGCCTGGGTGAGCAGAGCCGTGGCTAACTCCAGCTATAAAAAGCTGAGGTGGCTGAACAGACTCTTGGGTTGGGGCATTGTTTAGGGGGTGTTTTGGGGGGGTGTTGCTGGTTTTATGGCCCTGTTTAAAATTGTTGTTGTTTTTTTACTTTTTTAAGCTTGTGGGTTTTTAAATTTTGGGTTTTTATTATTTTTAAATTAAGGGATATAGGATGCACCTTGGAAGAGAGGAGGTGGAGAGTGCAGGGGCAACCCTAGTCACAGTGGTTCTGGACAAGAGAAAGTATGGGGTGGGGGTAGGCAGGCTGGATAAGGGGCACAGGGCACAGGTAGGAAGTGACCACACCTTGTCCAGTCTGGGGAATTACGGTTATCCTATCAGCTAGCCCTGGGCTCTGCAGCTGCTGTTGCTGAATGCCAGCTAAACTCTGAGTGAGACCTCCCTCATCCATTATCTGATTATGGATGAGGAGGCTCATCTCACCTTCATGACTGATGTTGAGGAGCCCCATACTGCTGGTTTTGGGGGACTTCAACACCGATGCCAAGGCAACTGGCTTTGGGATGGCTCAGGACTTCATGGCTGCCATTATGACCACGTGGCTGTCCCAACATGTCATTGGCTCAACACATGTGGCAGGCAACACTCTGGACCTTGTTTTCTCAACTGGACAGGAAGTGAGTGATCTGAAAGCTGGGGGGCGGGGGCGGGTATTGACAACAGTCCTTTCTCATCATTAGATGACTTTCTGTTGAGATTAGGCTTTCAGCACTTTTCCCCCTCTGCAGAGACGGGGGAACCTATCAGGATGATCTGCCCTTGGAGAAAGATGAATCCAACGGGTTCATAGATGGCTCTGGGGGGTTTTCTGGCTGGTATGACTGGGACGTCTATCAAATCCCTGGCTGACTTCTGGAACATCCAAATAGCTTGACACAGTCACCCCAAGTGCCCTCTTTCACTTCATGGAGCCCGTTTGGCTCCCTGGTATACTCCAGAGCTTAATGCAAGGAAATAGGTTGGGAGATGGCTGGTTGAAAACAATTGAAAACTGGTAAGGGCTCATCATTCAGCTTACCTAGTGATAGTGAATGCAGCAAGGAAGCTGTCCACAATGGTGACATACAAAGGGCAGTAAACAAGTTTAATAAATAATAGTGGTGGTGGTGGTGATTAGTAGTCCTACTATGCTGTACCAACTTCCATGTTCCCTTTCAAAGTGTACACCTTAAAACATTTATATTGTGGAAACAACTCCTAAAAGGGTAGCCATGTTTGTTGTAGCAAAAACAAATGCTCTAGGACCACCTTACAGTCTTAACAATTTAAAATGGCAAAAGCTTTATTGTGGAAACAATAACAGAGTCAAAATTACAGAATCCATAGCAGAAAAGCAGGGCTCAGAAGAGCAGGCAATCATTTGTTAGACATCAAGACTCATCTGAAATTGCCAGGAAGACTGTTCAAGCAGCAA